TGATGATTGGTTGATATACCAGAAGGGAGGCTAGCCTCCCTTGCCAGGGTTCTTTTCTCAACACTCCTCAGCGCTGAAAGTGAACACTCGATGCTGATTGGCTAATTTTTTTTTATCAACGGAGGCACGAGAGCTCAGCTCTCCCCCAGACTCCCCCTACCCTTCTCTATCACCTAGCGGTTGTAATTACATCAGCAGATTCGGCACATTCGCGATAGAAAAGCGGCGTCCAACTTCAGTAACATATTATGGTATTACAGCTGTGAAATTACAAACAAAAAATACACGTTCTGAGACATGAACTGAAATGAATTGTGAATTTTATTAACATTAAATCGTCAAAATCCTGCCGCTTCCACGGGCACGGGGCAGGCGCCTCCAAAGATAAAAGGCTTGTTCAACTTCATGCGGTGCCGCAAAGATCGGCTGCCGCCTGACAAAAGCAATGCATTCTGGTTAGAACATTTGTCCGACTTTGAAGGCCCTTTCACACGGGACGCGGCAAGCAGTGGAATCGCCGCGCGGCTGCCGCTTTCTAGTAGTAGTGGAAGTGTTTTGTGCAGTTGAGGCGGTGGTCGCGTTTGACATGGTTACAATTGTCAACATCACCTTTGTATTTACTAAAAACTAAATAAAACATAACGGAAATTTGTGTTTGTGTCATTCTGACATTAATTGTTGTCATTATTTACCCTTTTTTTTTCGTTTGGCACAAGTGAATTTGTTTTTGATGATTTGCCTAAAGAGCATACCTGTGAGGTTACGATTGAATTAAATATAATTTTATTTATGTCTCTGTATGAGAATTTAGATGGGTCATACAGTTCTGGGAAATCTCTTACACTTAAAACAATCTTCTCCTCTATTTTTCCAATAGGCAGTTCAGTTAAATGTTCACTGATTGGTTGAAACCGACGTGGCTGCCGCTGCCTCTCACAAAAAGATAAAATATTTGTATTTTTGGCGGCGCCTGCCGCGAATCGCCGTGCCCGTGGAAGCGGCAGGATTTTGGGTGTACGAGCACCGCTTGCGCTCCGCCTCCGCGCCGACCGCGTTTTGCCGCTTCCGCATGTCTACCTTTGAGAATGAACTAGACCAGTGTTTCTCAACCCTGGTTCTGGGCGCCCCCCAGCACTGCACATTTTGTGTGTCTCCCTAATCAAACACACCTGATTCAACTCATTAGCTCATTTAAGAAACTCCAGGACCTGAAATGGGTGCCAGATAAGGGAGACATAAAAAAAAAAGTGCAGTGTTGGGGGTGCTCAGGACCAGAGGCGGACAGTAACTAAGTACATTTACTTGAGTATTGTACTTAAGTACACTTTTTGAGTATCTGTACTTTACTTGAGTATTATTTTTTCTGGGAACTTATGACTTTAACTTCACTACATTTGAAAGACAAATATTGTACTTTTCACTCCACTACATTTCTATCAAGGTCCTC